TAATAATAATAATAATAATAATAATAATAATAATAATAATAATAATGGATTATTAACAATAAAGGAGTACACAGTTTGGCGCATTCCCGGAGAACCCAGTTAGAAATCTCATCTGGTCCCTCTGCTTTGGTCTTGTCTAATCATATTAGTAAACCTTTTATTTCATTCTTTTTGAGGGTGATATTTTCGATGTCCTTAACGTTTACACGGGTATTTGCCATATCAAAGTATGGATCCTGAACAAACTGAAATTTATCATTTAGGATTTTACATATTTCTTCCTCCTTAGAATAGTTATTGTGTTTGATGGCGCTAATTTGAATCTGCTCTTAGTTTTACTATTTATGTAGTTAATGAAGAGTTTTGGTTTTGTACATTTGATTATATCCTTCTCAAAGTCTAATTTCGCCTTCCTCCTGGTATAGGTATACTTGTTTCTTCCTACTTTATATCTTCCATACGCTGCCTGAGCTTTTTTAATCTTTTCTAGGGGAGCAGCTTGTTTTCTCTCATTTTCTTGCATTTGTCACTGAACCATTTTTGGCCATTTCTTGCTTGTTTTGAATTTTGACAAATTTTTCTACTCCTTTTTTATAGATTTCACAAAATTTTGAATACTGAACATCAATATTCTGATCGGCCCAGTTTATGCTATTAAAGAATTCTTTAAGATTTCTATAAGCACCTCTTGCAATTGTAGTTCTTTCTTTCCTTGCTTACGATAAGTTTTTCCTGTAGCAGACAGTATTTTAGTTTAATCACTACATGGTCGCTCTTCCTAAAGGAGGACAGTACTCGATATCCATAATATCACCGTTATGTTTTGTGAATATTAGGTCAAGCATAGACGGTATATCTAGCCCTCTTACCATTACATTCTGGAAAAGGCAATACTCACTTATGACTTCTAATAATTTCCTTTTCCGCGAATGTGTTTGCGCTCAAGGATCGAAACTTTCCCAGTCGATTTTGCTATTAATATCCCGTGATAAGAATTTCTTTTGCATTGGTTTCCGAAAGTTGCAACACTTCTTCCGGTCTCTTTAATTAGCTTTTTGGTAATTTTCTTGTGACCACACCGATGTATAAGGTGGCATGCAAACTGCGGTTATTATGTTAACCCCGTTTGTTTCTACTCCAGTTACCTTCAGTTCCGCAATGGGCTCTTGATTTTCGGACTCCTTTGTAAGAATTCCTTTCCTTGTTAATATTGCTATCCCAGTCCATTTCCATCTGCACTATCTTTTCTCCAAATATTATAGTCTTTAACTCATAGTGTTACATCGTCTATGGAGGGATCCAGTTTGTATTTAGTGATGCATATTACATCTGGTTCATTCGGTTCAATTATTGTCTCTAGTTCTAGTAACTTTGAAGATAAACCATCAATATTTGTATAAATTATTTCTATATAATCTTTCGGTATTCCTTCTGGCTGCAAGATTAATGTTTTTGTCTCTACATTTTGGTTCCGATAGTATAATTGCTTTACTTGGAGAAATCTCACCCTCCAAATAAACAAGTCTTCAGTCCTTTGTTTTTTTTTCTCTCTCTCGTCCCGGCTCATAAAGTCCCACTATCTTTTTTTTTTTTTTACTTATTCCTTCACTTCCTATTTTTTTTCATGAACTATACACATAGCCCATGGTTAGCATAGACCACCTATTACTTAATTTAACATGTAAGAGCTGTGCTGCAATGATGCACTGCAATGTACTGTCTGTGTGTGTGGGGGGGGGTGCGTGCGTGCGTGGTGCTTGCTTGCTTGCTTGCTTGCTTGCTTGCTTGCGTGTGTGCGTGCGTGCGTGTGTGCTTGATCATACGTGAATATGTGTGTTTGTTTGTGTGTGTGTGCATATGTATATATGTGTGTCTGTGTCTGTCGGTTTGAGCTAGTTTTATAAGGATGTGTGTAGGCCATGCAGTACATGTAGGTCCCCCTAATAGCAGAAAACAAAACTGTATGGTCCTGCTTTAGTGAGTGGCATATACACTACTTTGTAAGAGTCACTTTGTAAGCCAACATTCACTATGAGAGTTGCATCTTTCGAAAAACTAGCTTTCTTTTTCTGGCAAAAGTATTACAGTAGCACAAGCACTTTCATGATTTATGTTTATTTTATATAAAATCTATAATTATGGTAAACTTTTGTGGATAGTGTGTTGTAAGCTGTATAACACTGCCCTGTTGCCTGACGTAAACCACGCATGCACAAGCACACACACTCAGAAATACACATACACACTCACATACACAGATGCCAGCCACACAAGAACAAGCACAAGCAGGCAAGCAGAGAGAGACAGAGAGACACACAAACACACACACACACTATTGATACAGGCCTAAAACCTGCAGTAGAATGATAGGATGTTTAAAAATAATCATATTAACATGAACAATATTGATGAGCCCAGGATATTCTTTTTACAGTTATTAATGATAGTTCAACCTTTCTTAGTACTATTTCATGTTTCAGTATGTTACAAAAATTTCCCCCTGGATTCATATTTTATTGACAATGGAAAACTTTCAATATTATGTACACTTTTCAATCTATAAACATTTCTAAATATCACATAATAATTTACAACTGCTGCTATTGGCCCTTAGCTCTCTGCATGCTTCATTATGTATCTCTGAAAAAGAAGAAAAGTTGTTAATAATAAAATAATATCAACTTGCCTTATCACTATTTCTAGATATCCTATTTATATTTTTTTCCCTCTTTCTTGACTTTTTTTTGACCACAGAATGAGATATGTTTACAGCAATTAGCACTGGTACTTATAATCACTCTAATAGCGTATTTGTCTAATATGTCAATGAAGAATATTTTTTTCTTATTCTCCATTAACAAATGTAGGATCTATCATATCAATATTTTCAAATATTTGATCTGAAAGACCAATATTACTACTACAGATACTAGTCATTTGTATTTTCATCTGTTTTCTTATCCAGGAATTATTTTAAAATGAAGCTCCTTGTATAGACATTTTACTCTCAACTGGCTTTAGCCAAGTTCTGTCTTGACTCACGCATACACGAACTGTTACGTCACTGAAAGTTTACTTGTAAACTATCTAATTCTTTAACCCCAAGCTGCCAGGCATCGCATGTATGTACATGCCATTGCCCACTGTATGTGTTGAATTTAGTAATTGTTTTTACATATAGATGGCCCCACAAATACTGTCACCAATGAGCCAATTACACAAACTACCTGTCTCCCAAGTTTACCCTTTTCCTTGATTTTAGATATTTTCTAATATTTAATACTGCTGTTAGTAATGTCAGTAACAATATAGTGATCATAATGTTTATAACAAATATGTGTCAATATTGATAGCATTAGTAAAAAAAGGCATTTTTCCACTTTTTCAAGGAAAAGTGAGGTTGCAAGATCTACTAATTGACTGCTGTGACTAAGCACTGGCAGAGCCACCTATTTGCAGAAACATTTAACCAAGCATTGCCAAAGGGAACACACCATTTTCTCGTCAACATTCGGTTAAGTGTATGGCATCATATAAACCACATTTGCATTCCCTGTTTTGCATTTTCTTTCTATTGTGTAATTCAAACTTTTCAGACTAGACACTACCCATTTCAACAAATCCCATTTTTTTTAAAGGAATGCTCATGAACTTAATGAACAATAAATAAACATTTTCTACTTTCATATTTCTAATTTACTGTTTCCCACATGACAGGCCCTACAACACAAAATCTTTTTGTTTTAACTTTCTTTCATCCTTATTGTAATGATACTATATAGCTAAACAAAACAAGAATAAAAAATACTTTTATATCATCTTACCAATAGTAATGGAACCAAATTATTTGTCTTCCAATGTCACATGATTTATGGAATGAACAATAGCTTGAGAAACTAGGAAAAAATGGCTAGCTGCTGAAACAATATTGACTTTGTAAATAAGCAATTTCTGAATAATTTTTTTATGTACCTAATTTTTATGCATTGTTGTTGGAAACTCATTATCTGATTAATATTTACATGTCATTATGATAAACACATAATCAATAACAGTAATAGAATTTTTTTTTTATTAATCCCTAAATGCTGGCCTTCATGCAACTTATCCTTTTCCAGCAGTCAATTTAAAAGCAATGTATTTGACCAGTTTAGATTTTATCTTCATCAATTGTTTTCTGATAACGACATAAACTGAAACTGGTCACATAATCGCAATGAATTTTGTTGGCATGTTTGAAATAGAAGCATACTAAAACAAGGGTGATTGTGTGTAAGGAGTTATCATAGCAGCATGGACAGACTGGTAAAAAGTTGGGGGTGGGGTGGGTGTTGATGGTATGGCGGGGGAGGTAAACGAGTTTGTGGGGGCTACATCTTGCATCTGCTGACCTGACATCTCCAGACAGGTCCTGGTTTTGAAGTGTTAATAATCAATCAACAATCAAAATAATGGATGCCATCAATCATCTCCCAGTCAACAATCCTAACAATGAATACAATCAACTGGTTTCCCTCAACCTTACCTTTAGGGGAGAGAGAGTGTTGACAGCTGATAAGCCAAGCGATCTGAGAAGGACAATTGGTGTGGCAGTAGTGGAATACAAACGGTAAAGCCCATCAATAGAGGCCATAGTTGCCATGTTGTGCTTCTGCCGTTCACTCTCATATTTGTAGAGTTCTCTTACATCACCTGTGAAGAGTAAAAAAGGAAAAGAATACCACTGATAAAAAAAAATATGTAGTGAAAATCTATTTAAATTACTTAACCTGCTCTTTCTTCCTCTTTTTTCAGAGGTGGAATCTCACATGTTACATGGAATTCCACTAAATAAAAAGAACATAGCTATGTCATGTAGGAAATTGATCCTTTACTTTTGGAAAAGACCAAAGTCAAAGAAATTACAAAATTGCAAAATGACAATACAAGTCATAGTAGTAGTAGTAAATATAATTTATTCAATTCCATTTGTTACTATAGTTATCTTCTGTTTGGTATGACATCAGACAAATTATGACTGTCTGTTTAATTTTGCTTCTAAATTACCCCCTGTGTGCAAGAAATGGCCAGTGTTACCATCCACTGGCAGTGAAAGCATATAGCAAACTTTCTGTAAATATGTATGTAAAATCTGCTTACCTATGTCAGCTCCCAAAAGGACTGCTTTCTCCAAAGTCTCTAGCAGTGCTGCCACATCTCCAAAACCCAAATTAACACCTTGCCCTGCCAAAGGATGTACCCTGTGTGCAGCATCTCTGTAAGAACCATGAATATTTAATAAACAAAGGCATAAATAAATAGATGAATAATAAAATTATTCAAGTAAATATGCAAATATCTTAATATTCTTGCCAAAATTCCATAGCATACTTACAGATGACTTATTCCTATTCTATAAAATATTTCAGATTATCCTTACAGCCTCACAGTGCTTACATTTTCAGACATTTACAATACTATCTACTGAATCTATTAAAGTAAACCATATATGTCCTTCAGTCAAATTCAGGCTTTAAGATTAGAACAGGAAATCCCTTTCAGTGAAAATTTCTTGGGCTTGACTATTCCATCCCAAAGTGAGAAATTAAGATATAAAAGCACCATAAGTATACCTTCCATCTAAGTAAAATGAGATTACCAAAAATAACATCAATACAGTTTGTATATGCATCTGTGATATGCTCAATTACTTCATATTTCCTTTATCTGTATAATATACTTTGATATAAGCAAAATGTACTTACAATCCAACATATCATTTCTCCCTGCTTTTGTAAAACAAAACAATAAGAACAAAGAACCACTTTCCAAAACCTATATCTGCTGCACTAGAATACTATACATGTATTTTTCCCCTTAAACAATGGGTATATGAAGCATGCAACAATGATGACTATAATGCTACTGCTAATGACGATGATGGTACAGAATCGATCACCAAACCAAACAATCCAACAAAAACTCACCCAATAAGCACCACCCTCGGAGCAACATAGTGAACTGCATGACCAAGGCCTAGAGGAAAAGCACCTCTGCTACCGGGGACAACTGCGCTCACGCTAGGGGGCAGCTGACGGACATCTGCGCCTTGACTTGGAATGATGACATCCAGCAAGTTCGTCCATTTTTCATGTACTGCCTGGACTGTTTGGTCTGTGCTTGAGTTGTCCCACTGGTGAGAAAGAGAGAGGATTCTGGTTAGACTTTATGTAAATATGCTGAAGATGAGTAAATAAAATAACATGCCAATAGGTAATTTTTGGTCACTGATTCAATTTAAGACATTCAGGTTTTTATTACACATTTGAACACTTCGTTGCAAAGTTGACAAATTTCAAGAAAAATAGAACAAAAATAAAGGGGAAAATATCACATTCACAGGAATACTTGATTTTGTGGAAAGGCTACTAACAGACTTTAAATGTAATTACTAAGAAAGAAAGGAGCTTCATTCTAACTAATCAAGATACTGTAATGATCAATCAGCCTGCATTTTCCTATAACTAGTTCCCTGTCTTAAAGCATAAGACACAAAAAATCTCTCTCTTCTCCAACAAAATATCTTTGTAATAAATGATGATTAATTACTTTTCTGAAATCAAAACTTAAAGTAAAACATCCTACTGCAAAAATTTCAAATTTACATTATTCAATTTACACCTCTTAAAATCAAAAAACTTATAGGTACATTTATTTTGTCATTTCTACTGCAAAAATTTTCATATTTATATCAGCATTATTTCAACTGTTCAACACCTTTATTAACTCGCAGTTAATAATTACGTATTGCCCACAATTTTTTCATCCTGTGCTTGGTGGTTATCTAGACAAAATATCTAATAAATCATAATAATCAATATATCTGTAAACTCCTGGAAGGTATTTATTACAGAAACAAGGAACACATAATAATTATTAACTTATCCTCACACTTATTTTGTTCATTCTCTGCTATGGAGAGATGGTTATTGGCAAACAGATCTCCTAATTTCAGATAATTATACTAATTCTTCTGATTATCACAACGGACAGCAACAAATTCGATTGATCCTATCTTCACTTATTGGGAACTGCTTTAATTTCTCAACATTGATTTTCATCATAGACTTCTAAATGCTGCTTGTAATTATTGACCTTAGAAGTGCAAACTAACTTATCGATTCTTGATGATAAAGGTATCATTTTAAACTTCTTCACCTCCTGTAAATATTATTCAGTTTGGTCGTGGTTTTAATTCACTCCGAAAGTTCTGTAGGATCAATATGTGGGATTGTAATTACTCAATGCACTATCTGAAAATTAACCAATATCGCCGATAATTCAATTCTATAGATAATTGTTAATAAATGAAACCTCTGGTTACTTAGATGATGCGATGGATATATGTGTTGCCTCTATATGGTATGATTTTAACAAGCTCAACATGATCTCTCTGTATAATATCACGCCCAATTATACCCATTTAATAAAAAGACAAACAAACACCTGAAACAATAAGAAATTAATTTCATGAATAACATTACTGTAAGTACAAAGTAAAGGCTACACACAATATTCTCTCAGAGAAGACCCTGTAGTCTTTTATATCAACTACATACCAATTATAGATAACAGATAGTAATTAGGGGCATTCTCTAATTCTTATTCAGAGAATATCTATACAAAAATTTTACATTGTGGAAGACAAACATAGAAGTGGAGTGAGGGGGGCCCCATAGTCTTATCAATTACGGCACATACAATATCAGGCCGCAATTCAGAACCACGGCAATGGTAAAATAAAAAAGCTTTGGATTTGGTTAGATAAGGCCCTGTCATGTTGGGGAAATCAGTAATTAAGAAATAATGAAAGTAGGACATGATTATTATATTGTTTACTATTTATGTTCATGTCACGCACTTTCTTGTTATATAAACTATGTTATATTTTTTATATTGTAAAAATATTTACTTTGAAGGAATTTAAATTAGGAGGTATAGAATAAATAAGGAGTACGTAAGCCTTGCTCCTCAAGTGAACATGTTAAAAATGACATTAATACATAGAAATGGTAAACAAAAAATATTTCATTGATGAATATATAAACATTACTAAAGACCCACTAACAACAGAGCTGCTAGGCTACAAGTTCTGTACTATGTAAATGTGGTTTTTTCTCTCTGTATTAATAAATCGATATCACATCCACATTATAGTCTTTCAAGTTGCAAAGGAGATCATGAGTAGGCTCTCCCTTGAACGTTATTTAGTGGGGATCCTTATATTATTTGGATTAGCAAAAAAGAAAATTGGCACTCACTAAATTATTTGAGTGGTTATTAAATCTTACTTTGCAATTTACTTATTTATAGATATTAATTCTTTTGATATCCACTTTGTATGTAACATTATTCACTAGACAGTAGTCTATATGAAAACTCTAAATAGACATTAACAAATCTATTACTATCTTCTTTGTTTTAAAAATTAATACTAATAATACAACTAAAATTAATCTATCTAAAAAAGATCTGTAGAAATTAACGCTGAAGATCAGGAGCCTAAATTAACTTGACTTTCTATGGGTGAACATCCTCCTTCTTCCTTGCCATTAATAGAGGTCCGCGAGTCTCAGACGACATAGCCTCGACTAATTTTAAAAAATAATACATTAACATTACAATAAATAGAATAAAATCGTAATTAAAATTTACAGGTACCACACTTCACAGATAAACTCAGCATTTAGATTATATTTAAACCTATAAATGATACGCTTTTGGTTGAAATTAAGCTCATAAAAGATCTTTTTCTCTGAAAGTACTTACTATTGCCACAGGGGAGAGGGGGACAGGCAGCGATGGGGGAAGGTGTAGGGGTGGGTAGGGGGGAAAAGAGGGGGTGGGGGCAGAAGATGGCGAGAGGGGAGGAGGGAGGAGGGGGGGGGAGAGACGTGGGGACGCAGTGGGGTGGGGGGGGGGGGGGTGGGGGGGGGGGTGGGGTTTTGGGTTTGTGGGGGGTGGTGTGGGTTGCGGGTGGTGGACGTGGGCGTCGTGGGGTGGTGGGGGGAGGGTGGGGGGGGGGGGGGGGGGGGTGGGGGGGCGGGATGTGGGGGGGGGGGGGGGGGGGGGGGGGGGGGGGGGGGGGGGGGGGGGAGGGGGGGGGGGGAGGATGGTGGGAGGGGGGGAGGGGTGGGGCGGGGAGGCAGGGGGCGAAGGGGGTGGAGGGGTGGGGCGGGGTGGGGGGTGGGAGCGTAGGGGGGGTGGGGGGGGGGGCGGTGGGGGAAGGAAGGGTGGGGGGAGGGGGGGGGGAGAGGGGTGGGGAGGCGTGTTGCGAGTGAGGGGGAGGACAGTGGGGAGTGGGGCGGTGAGGTGCCAAGGGAGCAGGAGGGGGAGAAGGGGAGTGGAGGGATAAAGAGAGGTGGGGGCTATAGCGAGGGGGGGGGTGTGGCGGGGGGGTGGAGGGAGGAGATGGGGGGGGGGGAGGGGGGGAGGGGGGGGAGGGGTGGGGGAAGAGGGGGGTGGGAAGGGCGGGAGGGGTGGGGGTGTTTAGATTGAAGGCTATATTCTTTCTTTATCACAGACTAAATAATCATAATATCTCTTTATTGAAAGTTACATATTGTTATTAATAAATAAAAAAATATACAACAGTTATTCTCTTTCCAGGTTTCACCATTGCCAATATATTTTGTTTGAGGAGGTTGATCGTACCAAAAAGTACCAAGGTGCGGCTAATTAGGTTGGTAAACAAACTTGTGATCATTCGAGTCTGAGCCAATAAAGCAAAGTGCAGAAGCAAGAGTGGAATATTAAATGTAAAATAGGAATATCTAGAAGATAAGTGAATAAGGCACAAAGTGTTTCGATATATTAATATTAAAAAGATAAATTTGATACAATAATGAATGTTGCAATATATGTAACACTTTCTTCTTTTTCAGAGGATACTAATGAAGCATGGCAAAGAGCCTAAGGGGCCAATGGGGAGCAGTTGTCAATTATTGTTATGTGATATTTAGAAAGTGGATCAAATCCATATTAATGTAGTACGTAAAATGTGTGACGTCACCCGATATAAACAATAGCTAAATTTGACAAAGGACTCTAATTTATCTGCTGATTCATCAGCTGTAATGAAAGTAGATAATAAATGAAAAACTTCCATACGGGCGTGAGATTAACAATGGCTTTTATGTGAAGTACATGGCCTGCAGGTTAGGCGCCAGAAGAAAAAAGTCGGAATTTATCTTATTAATACAACACAACCTGTTGACCAAAAGTGCTAACAAAACTGATTGTCAAGGAGCGAAAGAAAAAATGAAAATAATATAACGACACTGGGACTCAATTCATTAGTTGGTTTAGCCTATTTATTGCATGTACAAAAATACAAATTTATTTTTGTATTAATACCCGAATCACCATTTATCCATATTAACTATCCCTATATATGCTATCAGAGTGGGTGGAGGTGTAGTGTTAATAAGTGATCACTGTATCCTTTTCAATTATAAATGGTTTATTCAATAGTTCAAAGTTGAAGTAACTGTGCATAAGGAATCTTTTCGATTAATTACCGGGGTTCAGACAACTGGTCGTAGTTTTGTGGTCTATCAATTCCCATCTGGATCGTAATTCCGCAGCCTTAGCTACTGGCTGCCCTTCGATTCGTCTTGCCGACAGTGAACTCTTCTTGCGTGGCTCATCTGCATCCAATGGGTCCTCGAGGTGAGACAAAATGGGGTCAACTCTACTAGGGTCGCTGTGTCTTGGTATTGTGTTCTATATTCGTGGTTATCAGGTCTTTTGCTTGTTCTTGGTGTAGAGTCATTCAAAACTAGACACATACTGAGTTAGTATCATGATAGGCTGGAGTTTTGCGCTTTGTTAAAAATTGCGATATTTTGCAGAATTCTGGGGTTGCTTTGGTAAGGTGATGTGTTACTTAAGAATTTAGTGGCTATTCTAATTTACTTAGGAGGTTATGATGCAGTGCCTCAATATCAGTTAGGCAAGTTGACCATAAAATTACTTATTAAATCAAGCCATTTAATGTAAACAAATCCAACACCTTAATTCTCAATACAATCAACCAGTCTCTATTAAAGAAATAGATAAACATTAATGAGAAATATTTACATAGATTGTTTATATTAAGGATTTTTATAAGAAAAAAAAACACTAAAAATAATATCAAATTCAATGAATTAAGGGTAACAGGTGGTCTTGAACACTGTATTTAACATTCACTTCCATTTGGGAGGTGGCCTAGGATATAAATGGGGGCTGAGTTATTTTAACGGGAAGAAGGTATGGAAACCTCTTCATACGAGGCACATAGTTCTACTGGGTCTTGTCTTTATCCTTCATTAACTCGCCTGAAGAGTGATCTCACATTAAAGTAAGTGTATTAAATTAGGACAGACTAATCACACACATATCTTAATACAAAGTGCGACTTGTATCGCCTAAGTAAAGCCTTTTACCAAATTGAGATCTTGGGTTGATTTCATTTGTCTCTTTTGAACCACTTCAGCGGAGGGGAAGCACAATATAGTAGACGGATTACGTGGAGGGAGAATTGAGGTGCCCTTTACTCGACCGGCCATCCAACAATAACTCAAATAAAACGCGACATATAATACTGTCCAAACTGGGCACACTAGGACAACACTATTATCTAGGGTGAGATTCACACAATATTTTATGTTTACAAAAATACTATATAGAAAACCAATGCATCCTAATGCATCTACCTTATATCTTAGTCATTTGGAGATCACACAAACATTGTTCAATTCGCAAAGTAACACTTATAGTGCAGGCTGTTTAACGAGACTTGTTGAGCTACACTCGCCACTCCTCACCTAGAATGAATATTTCAAGTACAACTTATTCATTCAACGAAACCTACGGCATCGCACAATCGAATTCGGCAACCTGATTTCTACTCAAGTCTGCACTTGAAAGGGACAATCGAGGTCATTGCTCTCTGCGCACTGTAGGCGCTTAACAACCTCATACGACTCAGAGTTTTTTACGTCATCAAACTCGCTACACTACCATGCGCCTTACAGAACCACCGGCCAACCCACTCCCACAACCTCGTAAACAAATATTCAGCACGTTACAATGTTTATATTTTTTTGGATGTCACTAAAGTACAGTCAGTAACAGAAATATTCATAGAGTACAGCCTAATACAGCATCTGCTAAACTCCACATGTCACATATAAGATGAAAAACATAGGATCAATCCACATCCGACTTAAATCTAGTGAGAGGAGGTCTTTTTGAGAGATGCTTACCGTCCTCTTAAATGACCTAATACGCATAATGTGCTATTAGGTGAATATTATCTTAGAAAAATTTGGGCAAAGTGATGGGAGTGTGGAATAGTCTTTAAAAAATATACATGAACACAAAGTATTAGTGTGGACCTTATGAGTCCGGGTACGAAGATGAATATAAAAACATAACAAACGGATGAAGAATATCGATAAATTATATTAGGATACTAGACATGAACGTGGGTGGTGAGGATTTTCTCTTCTCAAAGTATAAAAAACAAATTTATACTAAGGCAGGGAGCACACAAAGATGGTAGAAGCACAAAAAACAGTTAAGATTTTGCGGCTAGAGGGTAATTTAATGGAAAGGAATTATATAGAATTAATTTTTACTTAGCAAATATTAGGTTCTATTTATCATAAAGGTATGCCAACATTCTTAAGTAGGAGACATATTAATTGGAACTGGATATTAATCTAGATGTACTATTTTGTCATACTAAAATCAAAACTTGGATCCCCATTAGACGACTGTTACACTCTAATAGTACAGACCTAATTAAATACACACATTTCGTTACGTAGGAAAATTGCAGAATCCCTCTGGACAATGTGTCATATTTCGTCATCTAAAAATGGTGTGGATACCGCAAATTACTCATCAACTCAGGCAGGACACTACGAGACATGTTGCTGTTGCCCATAACAAGTAAGCGTGCTGTTATGCGTGCTAAACCATAGAGTCGCGCGTGCTTCTCCCGAACAACGAAGTAACGAGCCGGTCAGATGAGACACTAAAGGCACACTGGCAAGGTATGCTTGCAACCACCCAGTGTTGATCTGTCCATTCTGCGTTTGTGGGCACAGGCTACCAATGGGTTTCATTAAGAGACTACTTTAAGACCAAAAATACCGAGGTACACTCAGCCTGTGTAGCTGTGGCTTGGAACGCTCTAACTAAAGGTCCAGGATTTGCAGATTATGGCAACGATCTATTTATGCTCAGGACATTGACCACTCTTCTCTATTCTGATTGTATTATATGGACTTTCTAAAACAAATGAAGTATGGATAACAAATCATGAGACGGAGATTTAATGGGGAAATTTCTTTTTCATGCTCTGAACCTACACCTGCCGAACTACGCTGACCGATTATTACGATATAGGTCGCCATATTTGGTTTCAAGGAGTATGGGATAGGCATTAAGAAGCATTAGCCCGCTCTGATCACGCAGGTGGAGAGGACAACATATATAGTTCACCTAATACCAAATAAAAACTACGCATGTTGGGGAGTAAAACGCTAGTGATCAATAGGGATATCTCAGGGAAGTTGCTGGGTCCTTCCAGGAAGACGAATTAGTGGATTAAACCTAAAATGTTCTTGCTTACGTAACGTAGTATATGAATATTAACTATATAACCTCTGTAACGCAGACACATGTATATAGTAAATATCACTTTATCATCGAGAACCTAAAGTAGTTCGCATATAATTACCGGAAATCTAATAGAATAGGAATAATCTATAGGCAATAATAACTGCCATCTCACAACAACTACTTCGCATTTCCAGTTTTCAATTACTCATTCGCTGCTCACTACTGACAATGATAGTAGATGGTATAGTTACATTGGCATTCTAGATATAATATCACTGATACATGGTCAGGTAGAACAAGAAATTATTGGAGACGCGGAAGAAAACAGTAAGTTGTACGTTGAAACTACATTCCCACCTAGGCATAGAAATATACTTCAGAAGTATGAGAATTACGAAAAGCACTGTAGTGATATCGCACGAATGAAAATTATTAAATACATTCCAGTCAATAAGAGGCTAGCTATTTAATGTAGTTATTTCGAAATCAGAAAATAACAAGTCTGCATTAGTAATCTGTTATTAGAAGATTCTCCAGTTATATTACTCATTCATACAGGGCAGTGTAGTGGAAACATTATTAACTCGCTCATTATTGTTAGAAAGATAGGTGAAGTATTTTTATTCCACAAGAATTACAAATATCAAATTCATTCATTTAACCTTGTTCATTAAATTACGATTACCAATACTAATGCAGACAGGTAGCAAATTTAGCGTGGGCCTAGCTTCAAACACCATATCTATTCTAAAGGTGAAACTATGTTAATATCTCAACATTGCAATATATAACTATTTCATACATTGTGTCATCCGTGAACCACGCTCTATTTAAACAAAGGTCTGATAAACTGATTCACAGGACAAATTTTGTAACGACTCACACTAAGCATGCTACACACAGTGGCTTTTCAAACAGGCTTATGTTCTATGCCCAAAACGCCACTGACTAACTTTGTGCCGCATAGTAGATTAAATATGTCAGTCCCATCCACAACTATGGTCCAACCTCACAAAAGAAGCCGACAAATAGACTGACTGGTTCGAGCGCCTATTGCCTATCAACCACTCGAGACAAGAAGCTATACATTACATGGTTACTTTCTTCCTACTTCTCCAACTATATAGGGCCAAATTGTGGAGTTAGTGCGGAATTAAGCTGGAATACTCCTACATATATGAGTACAGAAAGTTGAGGAATCTGAATACAAGAATAGTAACCTCAGTAGATTCCGGCATGAGATAGCTATTTATGCACATATGCACCATGTTATATGTGAAGGATAGTGAGAGTAACTTTGTCTAGAATAAATAAACAGCATATCGGACGCAATCAGGATTTCGTGGTATTGAGATACGTGAGTTGGTCTCCTTCTCCGCCGCATCTACTATATCTACCCTAAAACCCTGCCACGTTCTTGCGCCTGATAAAAGGACATAGACACACTTGTATTGGCCTTGGAAAATTCAAAGGATCACTCAAATATATGAATGGTTAATTTCTATTTGTCGGTTGAAGACGCACTCTCGCCTAGATTCAACCTCTAAGTATGCCGTGACTTGGGCTTGCTCGAATTATACGAGAGAGAAGGGTTGATTGGAAGTTGTCTCTGATTCCCTCCTACTAAATCACTCACGCGGATGAAATCATTGTCTTCATACTCTGTTATGCCAGCAGGATAAAAGGCTTAAAACTCAGGACACAATTGATGGACTTGGTGGCTGAAAGTGGCACAATTATTTTCCTGCAGTTAATACTTTTTTTCTTTTTTTGTGGCATTACCGATTCATTTGTGTCCCTGCAGAATTTTTTATTTTGTCTCACCTCTGATAAGTACTCTGATCAACTATATTTTAGTATACCTCTAACTATTCTACAATTTGAATTAAATTCTATATTCAATATATTTTTTCCCAACTTTTATTGTACATCCATAACTTGTAAAAAGCT